AGCAAACGCTGCACAGCTCCTGAACTTTGCAGGCAAATTTTTTTAATGAAATTTTATTATAGGCCAATATTTCTATATGCCATGCAAATTCTATTCCAATTTTAAAAAAGATTTATTTACTTATTTTATGTATGAGTGCTCTATCTGCATGTACAAAGTTATGCCAGAAGAGGGCACCAGATCTCATTACAGATGGCTGTGAGCCACCATGTGGGTACTGGGAATTGAACCCAGGACCTCTGCAAGAGCAGCCAGTGCTCTTAACCACTGAGTCATCTCTCCAGTCCCTCTACTCCAATTTCGTAGGAAGTAAAAACAAAATGAAAACTATATATTCTTTGGACAATATGACAATCTAGCACATAGTCATAATTAAATGACTACTTCGAGACTGCCCAGTCACTATTAAAACTTACCTTCCCAATGAGCTGTAACTGTCAGTAGGTGTTTTAAGAAACCAGAGACCTGGCCAGGCATGGTACTGCAGATTTATAATCCTAGTACTTGGGAAGAAGACACAGGAGGACCAGGTGTTCAAAGCCAAAATCAAATGTATGGCAGTTCAAAGCTAGAAAACTAGAAATTCACAGGAATTTCTACTCCAAAACTTAAGTTTCTAGATGGCACTACCATCTACACTTCAGTCAGGAGGTTTTTAGTGGTGGACAACTGGAACTCGCTCGTGTGCACCATCTTACAGTTCCCGGGTTACCACTCCTTACCTCAGCAGATCCTCTGCATCCTCACGTAGCATGAAAAGCAGGTAAAACAGTAAGTGTCTGTCAGCACAACACACTGCACTCACCTTAACGTCTCTGCAGTGCACTGTAGCTCAGACATTCTTGTCTACACAACCCCACTCACTTACAGCCTAACTGGACACATGGCTGTAAACAGAGTGGAAAGCCTACAGACACCCAAAGCCCCTCCTTACCAGGGACGTATACACTATGCATATTAACCACAAAATAAAAAAACCCAAATGTTACTTAACAAATAACCTAATGGTACATTCTTCAGATTCTGTTGTCACATGCATTAGAATAACATGCTCTGTCATATGTGCATCCAAGTTTCACTATCAGTTAAGCGTGGTTAACGGTTGCTAGTCATGACTTCTAAAAGTTGGTGCGATCTGGCAGGGATATTAGAATTTATGGAGAAAAGAAAAATATATGCGTTTTTATTTTTCTCTAAGTGTTTAAGTCATTCCATTGTTTCTAAGCACAAACAATAGCTCCCCCTCAAGGGCCCGTTGAGTTTTTCCCATCAAAGGGCACATGGAATTATTTGGGCAGTAGTATGTGTCCCTCTCTTACTACCATCTCCACGTGGTGACTTTAGAAATGCAACAGAATGACCGACTAGTCTCATTAGAAACAAGGGGTCCACAAGCCAGCAATGTGTGGCAGGGACAGGAACCTCACGGGGAACAGGACACGGGTTTGCAGGGAGCCTCAGACCCGATCTTGCACCCCTGCAGCATCTGTACCCACGAGCTTCTTTACAGCCAAAGGGAGTGACCCACCATCGGTCACCTCTCTCAGTCTCAGGAACACTCGCACCTCACAACAGCCAACTGTTTTACTTGTCATCCGAAGGGGAAAAAACGTTCCCGTGAAGCAAGAGCCACGTTCTCTGTTTAAGGATTTCTTGCCACCCACTCAACTCCTCTGACTTATTCTGACTAATAAGACACAGGAAGGAATCAGGACCGAAAGATGAACCACAGATGCTGACTGCTAGCAGTACGGGCACTGAAAGCGAACAAGCCCACACCTGGACCAGATGCACGGGCTCAGGGCCACAGCACATGCACTGCCAGGAAGAGCTCAGAGGACAAGGCCAGGCCAGTCCTCGGGAGAAGAACACATGCTGAAGCTTTCAATTGGCACGAGCTTCCGTTTCTGCATTCCCCTCCACTCTGCTCCCCAAGTAATTGACACATAAAGACAGCAGTCAGCAGAAGCTGGAGGCCAGCTGGGGTCATGGGGTACAGAGCACTCTGCCCTCTTCTTCAGGACTCCTGTTCACAGGGCCAACCCCAGCCCACAAGGTGGGTCTTGTATGATCTCCATATTCAACATGGGCAGCTAATCCTTTCTGTTCTTAGCCTATCTCCAGGGGTTCTTCTGACACTCCACCACCGACAGGGCCCTCTTCCTCCTTGCCATCACTCTATCTCTGGAATTCCTGCCCAGAAACCCCAATCCTGTAGTTGGAGCAAAGGCTCAGCAGCCAGGAGCACTGGACCCGGGTTCACCCCGGCACCCCCATGGTGGCCACCATTCCTAGCTCAAGTTCCAGGGTATTTGATGCACTCTGGCCTCAGTGGTCATCAGAGCTGCACACGGTGAGCATACATGTATGTAGGTGTAGTGAGGAGCTGCGGGCAGGCCTGTTTTTCATCCCACCCGGCTCCCGCACAATTAGCTTAGCCCTGAAAATAACAACACACAAACACTGCCTGGCCCATTATCTCTAGAGAGTTAGTTACTAACTAACTCTCACATCTTGATTAACCCATTTCTAATAATCTGTGTAGCACCACAAGGTGGTGGCTTACCGGAAAAGATTCAGCATGTCTGACCTGGTGGCTGGCTCCATGGCATCTGCCTCATTGCCCTCTTCCCAGCATTCTGTTCTGTTTACTCCGCCTACCTAATTTTCTGTCCTATCAAAGGGCCAAGGCAGTCTCTTTATTAACCAATGAAAATAACACAATGACAGATGACCCTCCTCCATCATGTAGGAAAAAACAAATCAGTCTTAACAGCAACAAATCATGTCCTCCTGGCAGCTACCTTGCTGCCCCACAGGCCACCGGCAGGGCCCTCAGCTTCCCCTCACTTTAGTGGCAATTATGTCTGCATACCACTCCAAGACAAGACAACGTCCCAAGTTCTCTTCCTGCTGTCTCCACTGTGGAACGCCTACTCTGCACCCAGCCTGTCCTCCTGAGCTCCCTGGGTTGAGCATAGGCCAGCACAGAGGTACATCAGTGTGTCACCAACTTTCATGGCTGCCAGAAAAGTTGGCCTCTAATGGCTCTCTCCTCTCTCTTCTTCCCACACCGTCTCTCAACCTGCTTTCTTCCTATTACAGCTGACTATCTCAAGCCTCAAGCCTTCACTCTGAGCAGACAACTCCACCTACTGACAACAGAGAAAACCAAAGGTGGCAGAGGGAGCTCCTCACAACTGCCATGGTGTTCTCATCCGGCAGAACAGCCTCAGAGGCTCAGGGGTTCTGAATACTCAAGAGAACTGTTGATGGGATTAGAAAGTACGGCCTTGCTAGAAGGGTGTCACTGGGGATGGGCTTTGAGGTTTCAAAAGTCCAAGCATTCTCAGTTGGCTCTCTCTGCCTTATGGTTGTGTCTCAAGACATGAGCTCTCAGTTACTGCTCCAGAGCCATGCCCACAGGAAGCACAGCGAATCCTAATTGGTGGGGGAGGAGGCAGACCAGGTCAGTGCAGGTCTGAGCAGCTAATCTGAGTTTAACTCTAGGAGCCATAGTGGTCCCGAGAGCAGGATGGGGTTTCTGAGGCCTGGTTCCAGCCTTTCACTAGGTCTTCCAGACACCTCCTAAGGAGGGTCCAGAATCCTAGCTTCTAGTCAATCCTGGGCCTCACATCCATCAACAGCAGGACAGAGCAGTTCAGTCCCTGCACAGGCAGAGAACGAGGACCATTCCATCCCGCAGCACTAGGAGTTCCACGACTCAGGACACCCCTCATGGACACCGACAATCTGAGACCGTCTGCACTCTGCACACAAACCTCCTTCCCTCATCATCTCATAAGCTTCCCCACCTTCTGCTACATTCTCCGAGGGGTCTGTGTTCTCTGCACACATCCTGCAGGACAAGCAGTGGGGTAGGCACCCTTCCCTCCTGGCCCATGCTCCTCCCTAGAGACACCTACTACATCCAAGGCCATGACACAGCACCCCGTCCATCGTCACTTTGTTACACCTTCAATCTTAGAGAGTCATGGTTGCCTCCTCACCCCAAGTCTTGATCTAATGGCTTCACTACTGGAACAAACAACCCTTCTGAATTCTGAACTCTCCTCCAAGGATGGTCTCTCTCAGGTAGACCATCTCAGTTGCTCTTCCAGAGCCAAACATTTACATACGTACTGGAAAAGAAAGAAAACTGCAGAATTAAACCACCATAGCCGAGATCTCCCTCGTGAACAGGCCCGTGCTTTCATCCTGTTCTCAGGTGGTGGCTCTACTTTGGTAGAGTCTGGAAACTTGATGGTATGGCCTAGGTGGCAGGAGCCACTCACTAAGGCATGGTCCCTTTGAGGGACTTCTGCCTCTCCTTCCCGGAGCTGTGACGTGGATGTCCTCCACCATATATCCCTGCTACCAAGAACTGAGCCATCCACCACACCTTCCCCATCCCGACGAACTGACACCTTTGAAAGTGCGAGCCACACCGTACCTTCCCTAAGTAGTTTCTGTCAGGCACTGTGGTGACAGCATCTCGTGGCTCCACAGCCCAGGAGACACAATGGGATCCAGGATGCCCCTTCCTGCCTCAGTCTTTGTCTCCCACACTCTCCCCTTTTCCAACACTGGAGACGTCTGCACTGAACGCCTGTTTGCTAACAGCTCCCTTGTTAGAGATGTGAATTCTGTGCACTGGAGGCCTCTATTGGTCACACCGAGAGTGCCAACTTCTTGGGAACCTGAGGATTTGCCAGAGTGAATAACCAAACCTACTGTTGATCACCTCCAGTCCCTTTGACCTTTGCCCAATTTCTTCGCTACACCCTTTTTTCTCCTCCAGAGACAGCTTCAAGAAACAGGACCATGTCCTTGGGTCCACAAAAGAGCACTGTCAATTTCTGCAGTGGAAACCTCCTGGGCTATGCTTCAACAGAAGCCACTGACCACATGCTTCTCAACCCCTAAAGTTGGGCTGTGCACCTAAGGAAATACATTTTCACTTTTAATCTGTTCCTATTTAAATGGCTTCATATGGTTATCGCTATATCAGATTTAGAGCAAGGAGCGAAGCATGAAGCAGTTTTTACTACCAAGCAACTTGGAGAAGTCATATATACTGCCATTTCTGATGTGACTAGGTATAGGCTCTTGTGTTGCAATTACAATACAGATTTCAGTTCCAGGAGACAAAGGCAGGGGGGCCCTGCAGTTCCCGGCTCAAAAAAAGCACACCACCACAACATATATATGACTTGTCTTAACAGACTAGTTCACAGTCCTGCCAACAAGGAAGGAAGTCGGAAACGAAAAAGGAACAAACAAAAGATCTTCATACAGTACAATTCAAGTTCAAGAGCTCCGTGTCTGTGCCAGGGCACACCAAAATGTGCTAGCATACAAAACACGAAGCAGTTCCTGTTTGCCTTTTTTAAACTCTTAAGGAGGAAGTAAGCCTTTGATCAAGTCTCATGTCTGGATCACATGTAAACACAAGGGTACCGTCTATAAAAAGTACGCATCGCTAAGGTGGACAGTCTCTAAAGGCAACGTTTAGCCCGGTGTAGCTTCACGTCTGTGCTTGTCTCCCCATTCCCTAGTCCAGGTTCCAGCCCTGATCTCATTCACCACAACTTCAGAGACAAAAGGGGGGAAACTGAGACCCGGAATCCCTGGGTTGGCCACAGGCAGCCGGGCCCCCGAGGCCTCAGCATTCGCTGCAGGGACCGACAGCCCTGGGCACACGGTGGCGACCCCCAGACGGTTCGCGACCCGCCCCACCTCCCGTCGTCCCCGCGGCCGGGAACGGTACCTGCGCCGTCAGGCCCTGCTCCTCGTCGTCCTGGCCGCTCAGGACGCGCCGCAGCTTCTCCATGGCCCGCTCCTCGGGCCACCTGCCCTGCACGCCCACCCGGAAGCCAGGAACCCGCACTTTCCAGGCGCAAGCCGGAAATCCGGGCTTCCGCTTCCTTCAGGCATGCGCACCTCTTCGCCTTTGAGCGGCTGGGGCGGGGTGGGGGGCCCCCCTGTGGACCTGCGCGTCACTTCCGGCGCGGATCCCTGGGACCGCGGAGGGCGGGTGTTCGTTCGCGGGGGTTTCTTCTCTCTGCTCCGGGATCCTTCATCAGGGCTGTCTGTGCAGCCAAGAAACACGTAGTGTCCGGTTGCATGCCTCTCCTGTCCTTTGTTTTGTTTAACTACTTCACGAACAGCTTCCTCCCTAAAATAGGACCAGGGAGAAAAGGGGTTAATTGTCTATCGTACTGCCTTTCAAAATGCAGTCGTTACAGGAACCCCTAGAAAAGGAGGTCATGGACGGATAAAACTGCGCCTGCATTTTTTGGGAGTCGGACCTGCACGAACTAAAGTGCAAAACCCCATCCTTCTGCCCTTTGAAAAGCCATAAGAATGATAACGAATGTACAACAGAATCGTCCTTGAATGTGTCTGTACGTTTTCCTTTTGAAGTATAGTAACTTGCATATTTAAAAACCGAAACTGGTACCTGTAGTGAGGGAATGTCTGCTTTCCAAGATAGGTGGAGTTGCCGGCACCCAAAATGTAGCTGAAATCCTAATTTCAAGGAGTCAGTTTGTACTTGAAATAACTGATGGTGACGTAAATATGTGGAACTGTCACAATGAAACCCATTAGTTTGTACAAATGATAGGTGTTAATTATAATAAGAATAAACAGCTGGGTCCTAGGATGTGTCACAGAAGTGAGAAAGCCTGGAAACGTACCCTTTAGTGTTCTGATTTAATGCTTGTGTGTCCCCTTTTCTGTCTTTTTTAAAGTTAATGTCTGCCTTACCTGCCTATCTCACTGGGCGCCACATTCATGCACTGCCTTTAGAGTCCAGGAGGAAGCGTCAGAATCCCCTGGAACTGGAGTTAGGGAAGGTTGTGTGCTGCCAAGTGGGTGCTGGGAAACTGGGAATTCTCTGGAAAAGTAGCCAGTGTTCTTAACTCCTGAGCCATCTCTCCAGCCCCTCTGTCATTCTTAAGACTGATAAGTTCACGTATGCACGAGATCTTACGTAGAATAGACGGGAATAAAAGGTAACGATTGAAAACCAAGACTGATGTGCAGGCTTTATTGCTTCTGGTACCCAGAAGACAACTTGTCTTTTACTACACAAAATTTATTAGACCACCAAGGAGTGTAAAAAATAATGAGTAAGAACCTAGACTCTGGAGAGAAGCTGCCGAGTTAGAATCTTGCCCCCACCCCTTCTGTAGCTGTAGAGTTTGTGACATACCACCATAAACATTGGCTTCAAAAGTGAAAATAAAAGCCAGACGTAGTGGTGCAGGCTTTTAATCTCAGAACTTGGGAGGCAGAGGCAGGCGGATCTCCAGCAGTTCGAGATCAGCTTGGTCAACAGAGTGAGTTCCAGAACAGCCAGAGCCATATAGTGAGACCCTGGCTTGCCAAGAAAATAAATAAATAAGAAATAAAACTTTAGAGGTAAAAGTAATATTTATTCCTGCCTTGCAGGGCTGTTAGTGGGACTGAGGGGGGAAACCCCAAAATCACCCCCATTACTTATGGGGTCTGGGTTTGCTATTGTTCTACACCCATCGATCTTTGTCGCGCTCTGCAGATCATTCAAGGACAGGGTCAGAGTGGAGAACAGTTTAGAATACCTCAGTGTGCTGGCTGAGATCCAGTGGGATGAGGCTGTCTGTCTGTTCATGCTGTAAACAGATTTCCTTTCTAGGCCTATTTGGTACCCCAGTTTTCAGGTATTGTTGGTGGTGATTTCACTATTTGATGGTCCAAGGATCATCTGTCCGACCTAGGCCTTCTGCACACAGGCTCTGATGCGCCGTGTTGGTTAGACAAAGAGAGACCTGACTCGGGCATGACTGCTGTAGCCGTGCGTTCAACCCTAACAATCGATATCACACAAAGCAAGCTTACATCGTGATCAGCTGACAAAATGAGACCAGAGTTTCTCAAACTGGTTCTGCTGGAGAACAAAAGCTTGGCATTTCCTAATTCAGTGTTTGTGCTGACTTTCTTGAACATGGAGGACCCAAACAGCAGGAACCGTGCCCGGAAACAGATCAGGGCTGGCACTCACCAGCTGCTGCACACATGCCGGTGTTTATTGTCATGGCACAGGATCAACACAGACACTGTGCTCTGGGTCCCCGTTTCTCCTCCTGTTTTAGTGGATTTCCCAGAACACTAGGAAAACTTCTGCTCCCAGACACGAGGTTGTCCAGTAGCAGTGAAATCCTTGCTTTCCAAGCCCGATGCCCAGGTGCAGAATTAAGTTCAGTATGCAGAGAGGCTGGACCATCAGGAAACAAGCCCTGTCTAGCCACTTAAGTGAACTCCTGGCGATTAAAGCCAGCTTTGTGGCTTCATTTTATTCCCAGTACTTTGGAGAGGGGAGGATACCTGTCTGTGGCTTCAGCGTCAATCCTAGGAAGGGAGGAGCTATCTAGGCATAAAAGGACGGGACCCTGCATATAGACAAGGCAGTGACACCATTTTTAAACACACCACAGTGCATGATGTGACATTCCGAAAAGGTATAACGAGGCACTGGTTTCTAAGATTGGAGTGGGCTGCGTGTGGATGAATCAAAGGAACACAGAGGACTCCTGGGGCAATGGGAGAGCTGGGTACAATAATGATGGGCACATGGCAATATGTGCTTGTCCCCGCCCTCGTGCACAGCATCAAATGTGACTCCTACAGTAGATAACAGACGATAACAGAAACACGCTAGTCGGCTATCAGGAGTGGAACACCCACCATCAGAGTTAGGGTGAGGTTATAGGGGGGAGGCAGGCGGAGGGGATGTATGGGGGGCCCTTCTGTCTTCTGCCTTTTTAGGTTTCAAACTTCTCAAGAAGTGGAGCAGTTAATACGAAATACGATTACTTATGGGTATGTCCATCTCACTTGGGAACACCACTACAGTAAAGCCAACAGTCGGGCTTCAGGGCCCTTGGGACAGGAGAGCTGGGGGAACTCCTGGAGAGAGCAACTATGGAAGAGGGCTGAATTAAGAGGAATGGACACACTGGAGTGGAAGGACACAGTGCATGGCTTTTGTTGGCACTAAGAGAACATGGGTGAGTGAGGAGCATGGGAAGAGTCAGACTGCTGGGGGAGCCATGGGGACCTGTTTCAGGCTCTGAACCGTGTCCTCTAGAAGAGGCACAGGGGACCACTGAGATGTGCACTTAGGATACAAGTGAGTTTGCGTTCTGGGAAGCTCACTTCAGCTCAGGCATGGAAGGTAGGTCCTGGGCCCAGAAATGGTCATATTGTGGCCTATCAGAGGTGCTGGTGGGAGACCAGAGGAGGCCACAGAAGATCCAATGGGAGTAGCCTGCAGAAGACACAAGCAGATTCTGCACATGGGATTGGAGCACTTGGACCCTGTGGGGGTGGGGGTGATGAGGGCACAGAACAAAGGGTAGGGCTTGTGTCTGCAATGAGTCATGGGTTTTGCGGTCGCATGCAGCATCCACACTCAGATGGTGTGATGGAAACTTGAAAAGCCATCTGGCAAGAGGCCTGGAAGTGAAGGAATTCCCAAGAGGCTGTGGGTGCAGAGAAGGAGCCTTTGGTGTTCTGACATAAAAATGGGAACAAGGGTGAGAGAGGAGAAAGGGATGTGTTCGGTGACCCTGGCCTGAGTGACCCCAATCTTGTCTCTCTCAGGTAGGCCTGCTTCCCAAAGGTCAGAGAAACCTCACAAGGTACAGCTGAATTTTGACATGGCTCAAAGATAGCAGGTGTCTACTTCACGGTGCCTGCGGCCCATCGCCCTGCCGCCGGAAGCCCTGGCGGCTGGCTGTGTGTGGTGCTGCATGCCCGAGATGAGCTTCCCCTCATGTTTTCTGAGCACATGAGCTGTTGAAGAACAAGTGGGATTGGCTCTTAGAGAAAGTACCAGCTTGGGCACCGTGCTGATGCACAGCCACCCAAATAAGCCTCGGGGTGACTTGTGGGCCTGCCCGGGGCCTTTACAGTTTCCATATCTCAAAACCCACCGTAAGAGAAAATGCCTTCCCTAAACTCCTTCTCTGAAAAGCCAGTGGGACGCACCAGTGCCTTCATGACAAACTTTCTTCCTTTTCCGTTCTGATGGCAGCAAGTGGTGGCAGCTGTGGCAACCACAGCCACACTGTGCCTTGAGGCTCATGCCCCTCTATGAATGTCCAACCGAGGCCTGTACGAAACTCATTTTCTAGTCCTTGGAGACAAATTAATCTTCATTAACTGATACTTTAAACTCTCAAGCCAGCTATCAAGTTTTTGGGTGTGGCTTGCTTAAGAGCAAAGGTAAATTTATTTCTGTAATTTCCTGGATCCCATGGCTATAGTCACATTGTAATCAGTTCCTGGAAATGTGGCCAACATTACACAGATGAATAAAAATGCCCTCATGCAGGCTTTCTACAGCTGCAGATCCCTAAGGAAATGACAACAGCCAGTGTGTCAGAGCAACTGAATTTGACCCAATTAAAAGTAACAGAATCTCACTCCGGGTGTGTCGCAGTTAATAGAGGGCTTGCCTAGTGTGCATTGGGCCCTGGGCTCAGACTCTAGCACTGCCTAACCCAAGCACAGTGACACACGCTTAGGATCCCAGCACTCAGAACACAGAGGCAGGAAGATTGGGCATTTGAGGTCATCCCTTGGCTTTAAATGTAGTGAGTTCAAGACCAGCCTGAGATCTAGGATCATACACACAAATGACAATCAAAAGAATAATGGGGTGGGGGCTGGAGAGATGGCTCAGGGGTTAAGAGCACTGACAGCTATTCCCAAGGACCTGAGTTCAATTCTCAGCACCCACATGGCAGTTTACAACTGTCTGCAACTCCAGTTTCGGAGACCTGGCATCCTCATATATATGTAAAAGAATAATGAGGTCTTGTCTTTCAGAAAACAATTGATTGACATTTACTTGCATATTCAAGTAATGTCGGAGGCTGCTCGT